CGAGTACGTCACGCTGCGTCAAATGCTTACAATAAATGTCAATTAAATGTTAACTAGATATTGGCTCATGACATATTAGAGCAAGAGAGAGAATTTTGAGAAATACATATTCGAAAACATCATGCTATTTTTGCCTGATGTTAAATATTTTAAAATCAAGAACAACAAAAACATTTTACTAGGATTCCAAGTTAATGGGTTTCCTGGGAATTTACATATGGGTGCTTAAAAATATCTCTAAAAATCTTGTTTAATGAAACTAACATCCCCACCTTCCTTTATCTTTTCCTGCTAAAAGCTCACCTTATTAACTTGCAATCATAAATAATAAAATAAGCATAATGGTCTCAATCTGATATTGAATTCTTGTTTGGTGACCACCTTCCTTCTCCTCCACCCCGCATAATGAAGGGAAGAAACAAGAGAGATTGATTTCTCTAGATGGCTTCATGTACTAAAATATAAGTTATTCCAGTGAAAGTTGTGATCAAACAACTGCAGCCTATGATCAGTCCGGACTGTTTCTCTTTGGGCAATGGGCCCATCTTCAGCCTTTTCAAAATAAAGAAAGAAAAATCACAATTAGGAGATGCCAACCATTAACCGTCACACAGTACTTGGTCTAAGGAGGTCTACTTAAGCAGGCCCACTGATGGTGATTAAGAAAAGGAAAAAAGAGAACAAAGAAAGCAAGAAAAGGAGGGCCCCTTTAATGCTGTAGACACGTAATGGATAAGATACTAACTCTGTTTTCACAAATTTCAGGCTTATGCTTCAATCAGTGTCATTTAATAGAAGATTAGTGGGTAGAAGTTCTAACCATTGCAACATCTTGAAAAAAGCAGGAACACCTCCATCCTTAGCAGATGAGAAACCACCCTCCAGCACTTGATTTTCCCTTATTTCTTTCTTCATATTGTTGGTTACTCTCTCTCTCTCTCTGTTGGTGATTTAATTAATCGTTTGTTTAACTTTAGTTTTTAGTTAAACATCTCAGCTGATAATTAACTTTTGAAACTACACCTGCACCGACTGTCCTACCTCCCTCCATCAGAGAAAATCTTTGTCCGAGCTATCTGGAGTCTTGCGAGGGGTGGGCTGGACGTGGACCTACTGCATATATTGCACAAAGTGGCATGATGTTTATATAGGCTGGCTAGTTCAGTCATTTAACTATCCACAGAAACCGAAGGGACCCAAAAAGAGTGTCCCCATAGGGTTGTAAACCATATCCATTTCTCCAAATTTGCATTAAAATTTAAAAATCTGATTAGACTAAGGCAGCCAAAATTTGACTTTTAACAGTATTTTAAAATTTTGAATATGAATCCATCATAAACTGAATCAATCGAATTGGTATCAAAAAACATTAATTTGTATGTACTACAGTATTAGCACCTTTCTACAATGGCACAACATGCAACATGGTTATACATTTCTGCATTGTCCATGTGGCAAATATGGAAAATCTGTCCTAGTAACATTTATTTGAAGCAACAACTTACCAATAATAATTCTTGTAAACAGCCCATATAACCTTATCAATATGAATTTAGACTATAAAAAAATATAAAATCATGAAAGCAATGCAGGCATGATTCTCATAACATGAACAAATGAAAATAGAATATTACTAATATTATTGTCTTAAAAAAATAAGTTATGTCATATTTAGAAGATCAGAAATACCTAAGCTTTATCTAGCCATTTCATGAGACTTCAGAAGTTTGTATAGTTCCAGAGGATGGAAGTTATGAGTCAAATTCTATCTGCTTCAAGTGGAACAGAAGATATCAGCTCAAAAACTGCGGTCACATAATCACCGGGCATCACCATCTTAACATTTTCAGGCAATTCCACCTTTCCAGTAACATCTGCAATTCTCATATAAAACTGAGGTCTATAATTTGAAAAGAAGGTTGTATGATGGCCACCATCATCCTCTGAAAGGACATAGGTCTCTGCCTCAAACCTCTTATATGTTTTCACAGTACCAGGCTTGGCAACCACCTACCATTAAACTAGTGGATTTTGTTACCAATCTTTCTTCACATTTTTCATTGTATACTGTATATTTAATTAGATCATCAAAGTAATCATTGTTCTAATTTTTTTATTTTTTGTTTTTTTTTTGTATGTTAAAGATGCAACAAGTGATCTTAAAGCATAGTTGAAGACAATGGATAATTCTTTTATATTTAGAATTTCTCTATTTTTTTTTGAAAGTCATGTAGACTTTAATATGTATTGAGGGAAATTTGACATTTGTAATACATTTTAAACAATGGACGTATTTTTTTGGTAAAACAATGGATGGACATGTATTGAATTATTACAATAATATAAGTATTTGCTACAAGTTATTATATAATTTTTATGTGGTGTATGAATAAAATAGGTGTTGCTTTAAGGTGGCGGTCCTAATTGTCATTATTTTACCATATGAACCTTTTAGCTATGGTTCAGCCCGTGGCTAAAGGTTCATATGGTTTGCGTTCACCCTTTAGCTACGGATAGATACCGTAGCTATAGATGGGCTATAGCCATGCGAACATAGGCTACGGTTGTCTATCCGTAGTTAAATTGTAGCTATAGGTCTATAGCTACGATTTTTTGACCTTTAGCCACGGTTTTGTTCGTAGCTAAAGGTCATATTTCTTGTAGTGATATATTATATGACAATATAATTTAGGGAAAAGTATGGACATGTCCAACTCTAAATTTTGAATTCCGACCCAATCATAGCAGAGTCAAGAAAGATACATAAATCCACTTTTTTGAAAAGTTAGGATAGATTCTCACACAATGTAGGAATTATTGTCTTGATTGATTTGGTGTTAGGCAACATTGCTTCCATGTCAGTCTCCCATTTCCCCTTGAAAATACAATGACTAAATGCCCTTATTATAAAGCAAGATTCATTCGAAGAAAATGTTTGAAAAAAAAATGCAATCTCATCCTAGTAAATGTTTACCAGGTTGGCACAAATGGCCCATCTTCCAAATGGCCATTAAGGAGATGGTGTATACACAATAACCAATATATACTATTACATCAATACCCTTAAGTTAATTGTGATGAAACAATATTACCCATTTGTGATAGTTTTTGCAAGTTTTCAAATTTGAAATTAACCCCTTAATCCCATCTTGGTAAAATTTTACTAAGTTGACACATATGGTCTATATTTGCTAGACGACTATTAAGGAGATGGTGCACATAATAACCAATGCTATTATGCCATTGCCTCTGAGTTGATTGCAATGAAACATATTATCGAAATGAGGATGGCCATGTTCTTTCCAATGAAGTTAGACTATTAGACAACACCCTAAACCCATCATGATAACATTTTACAAAGCTAGCAATTAAAGCATATAATGCCATTATAAAAGGATAACCAAAATAACATCGCCATACCTAGTATATCTTTCTTCCATTATCAAACAATATTACGTATTTATAATGGTTTTTGCATGTCTTTAGATTAAAAATTAATCTATTAATTCCATCTTACTAAATTTTTACCAAGTTGGTTGATATGACTCTTATTGCCAAATGGCCAAAGAACACACAATAATCAATATTGTTATGTCATTGTCCTTGAATTAATTGTCATGAAACATACTATCCAAATGATGATGCTAAGGGCATTTTAGTCTGTCTTTTAAAGGGGAAATGAGAGGTTGATATGGAAGCAATGTTGGCCTGACACCAAATCAATCAAGACAATAATTCCTATGTGGTGCGGAAATATATCCTAACTTTTCAAAAAGTGGATTTGTACGCCTTTCTCTAAATTGGGCATGTCCGTACTTTTCCTAATAATTTATTATCTAGGGGAAGGGGGGTAAAAATTTATGAAATTTTGTCCGTATCTATGACTTGTGCTTGTATTAGTATATCCATGGATTTTTCCCAAAAGAACAAGTAGATCCAAAAATCATAAAAATAATTATTTTAAATGATTTTCATGATAGGAAAGACAAATAGGCCTATGAATGGTCTACCAAATTTCTTGATCCATCAACAATTCATGTCAAAAAATATTTTGTTTTAATTTTTGGTAATTTGTAAAAATAATATAGATAGAATAATTATTTTAGCAATCAAAATTTATGAACTACATATGATATTATATGTACCTTAGAAATTCTAATAGATCTAATATAGTTTTTCAAACTAAGATTTTATATTATTGTAAACTATCAATCATTTAATTCACAATAAATAACAATATATTTATTATTTATGGGAATAAAAATATTACAAACAAAACTAGCTTAAGTTAAATTAGTAACTTTTAAGAAGCTATATAGACATTAACTAGCATATTAAGAATTTAAGGTTAAATTAACATTTTTGTATAATATAAAAAAAGGTAAAATCATAAAATATAGAATAAATTAGGAATCAAGTTATTATATTTACATAAGATTTGCTTCTTAAACGCTTGAATTTATGTCTTTGGAATTTAAGAATTTTTAATATTCCAATGTAAATTCATTTAAATCTTTCTAACGTCCACGGGATACCAATATTTTAAACCTTATAATAAAGACCTGATGCATCTTTCAAAATTGCCAATGAATCCAATAGAAACCACATCCATACATATCTCAATATTTTCACTATATCCTTGTGTATCCAAAACATGTTTCTTAAAATTGCTTATCTTCTAATCTTTACATTTTTTATACTTTAAATTTTGTATATGACGAGTTTTCAACTTCCAACTTTAGTTTTTATTCAATGTCCGCTTCCTTCCACAATAGAATTATAATCATACATACCAGCCTCACAAAAGCAAGAAAGGAAATTGGTTGGAGGGGAGGAGAACACAAATACGCATTCTCAGTTCGTTGATCCATGGGTTCGGAATCACTAAAAGCATTTGAGAATCAATCTATTAAGATTCCAATACCGAGTCTTTTGAACTTCAACATTCCTCTGACTGAATATGAATGAAGGAATATGAGAGAGAGAGAGAGAGAGAGAGATGCCATGGATATTGAGAAGTCCTATGTTCCAGAAAATAACATACTGTAAGCAAGCCTCTTGATACAATATAGAAGCTGTCAAACAACATTAAAACTAATGATTTTAAATGAGGTAAACGAGGAACCGGTATGCCATTCCATGTGACCAGACAGTAGACAAACTGTTACATCCTCCAGAATTAATTAAATAAAACAAAAAGGTATAATACATTATGTCTTTGACACGGTCATCTCTTCCAACTATTACACATGAAAATTGGACCTTTTTGGTCTACCCCTAACCCTTCCAGCCCTTCAACTTGCATGTGGAGACACATAAATGGAGGGAAACCAGAGAATCAACAAGCCATGAAGCTGGCAACACCTTTGAAACCCCATTCGCAGTTTTCAGTGATTTCCCATTGAAATTTGACATGCTGCAGTGAGGACAAATGTAATCTAATCCATCTCTTTTTGCATAGTCCTGTCATCGCAATGTGATTTAATCAGGTATAATACAACTTAAACCTTAACCAAAGGAGTTGAATCCCAATACAAAACATTTAGCTGTTGGTTGCTCTTTTTTTCTAATAAAAGTAAAGCTGGAAACTCCAGGCCTAAAACTAGATACACGCAGAAGCACAAAATACAAGCTCCGATGCTTCAGACATATCAAGGTCAATATAATAACAATATAACAGAATATCGACTTTCCCCTGCACAATACGATCCAAGTCACGATGAAAAAGACTACAACAATTTGACAACATCCAATAGTAATAAAATATCGATGAAAAGTAACTAAACTGATAGAAGATTAAGCCTTAATTACATCTTTAATTTTCAATTTATATTGGGGTTTCTTTTAAATGCAGACTTAGATAACTGCAATAATTCAACATGCAGTTTCTATACGGTAGGTGCACCATACCTTGAAGGCACCGAGGCCTTTACCTGATCGCCTGCTGCACTACTGGTGCAAGGTAGCACCCATTGTCAGAATGTATTTCAGACCCACACCCACCGGTCCCACACTGACACATGCTATGCTAAACATAATTACACTACAATCTAAGATCTTAATGAAGGTACCCAACTATTTTAGCCACCGGGATGTATTTTATGGCCTTTCCAAGCTATCCATCGATAATCTGTACTAAGGTTCTGTAGAGGATTCTCCACAGTCATCAAAGGCAGAACAAGTCATTGAAAAGGCTATTTTGGCTTGCTACTGCTGTTATCCTGGCAAATTGTTTGTCCAAGAGAGAGTACAAACCTGTGATATAACCAGTCTTTTTAGTCTGTTTCTGACTTCTCAACACCCTGTTGCAAGCAACCAAAAATAATGAGACTCCAAAAATCATATTAAAAGGACTAGTGAACACTCAAGAAGAGCAACATAAAATGATATAATTAAGCAAATTAGACCAGGATATTTTACTTATTTTTCTAGTAAAAAACGGTGAGATTTTACAATTTATCACATGCAACATTCCTACATTTTCATTGATATGGAAGCCATGTTGCTCTAGTGAACAACCAACCCCACTAGATTTGCTGCCCACTTAATCCACTATTTTTCCCAATCCAGACGAGTTTTCAAATAGAGTTAACATAGCAATAATTCGACCTTCTTCGTTCCTGAAAATATCACCTATGCTTGAAAGACCTGGGTTTCTTTCACTACTACCATCAAAGTTCAATTTGATGAAACCAAGTCTGGTGCAGTCCAAACAGGTCTAATATCACTAGACACAGGAGCTGACCGAGCCACTTCTTCCCAGTTTCTAATGATGTCTCCTACTGAATAGGCTTCAGAAAGCTTCAAAATCTTGACCCAGTGGGCCACCCTAACATATACAAGTTCTATGAGGGCTTCCTTGCTTTTTTCTTTTCCATGAAATAATCTTTGATTTCTTTCTTCCCAGACCGTCCAGCAAACAGCAGCTCTAGCACATCTCCACAAGATTTTACCTCTCTTCTTTAGACCCCTCACCGAAGTGGAACTGAACAAGATTTTCCACTGGTAACTGAAATAGAAGATCACAGAAAGTTGAACATCCATAGCAAGAAAAAACATATGCATTATAAGAATGCAAAACAGAATTCGACTTACTTTGTTATGCCCAAGTGGTGATCTGAGAACAAGTTGATCAAGGGTCAAACATTCACCTCCAACTTTAAGAATTCTAGTCCTAGTTGTCTCTGTAAACCTCAAGGCAGTCACCTTCAAAGCAGGTAATTCATAAACTTGTGTATTCAGTAAGAGCACCAACAACAACATCAACCTTAGCTTCCTGTAGAATCAGCAAGAACACCACTGTTCCACTTCAGCTCACAGATCCAGCAAAGAATAACAAGGAAACAAACAATAGAGTGAGAGGAAATGCCCAAAAATGTCTAGAAAGCAAGAAACAATGAAAAAAATCTAGATAGAGAAAATTAATTCGGAGTTAATGGTTGTCCACATGACAATCATTCAGAGCTGCCATGGAGACAGAACATCAAAATACTGAAAAAACTAAGGTATGGTACCTGTGGTTGCCAATCAACAAATATTACTCTCTCCATATCTGTTAATTTTTGCTTCAAGCAACCCTTCCTCAGATGTAAAATACACAATTGATGATCTGGATTTCATTGACTATGATCCAGATAAAATCCCCAGGCAAAAAGTCAAATCAATGATCCTCATCATCTTGCACACAATCCAATTTGGCAGTATGAGATATGAATGAATAATCAAGAAGACAAAACACCACTTCCATTTCTAACTTCAAAAGAAAATCAGGAATCAAATGATCCCTATTTACCCCTTGATTTGCTAGGTATCCACCATCCCATTTGCTGATCTTCTAACCTATTGTACCCTCAAAGTCTTGCTGTTAGTTAGCCAGTTAAACTTTTTTATTTCATCCCCATAGGCCCAAATTACCGAACCCGGCTTCTTTAACCATCCCACTACTAACTTGGAGTCTCCCTCAATAATCAACTTATCCATGTTTAATCTTTAGCTATCTGCATTCCTTGAATTACTGCAAGAAGTTCAGCCATGATGGAGTCCGCCACACCCACTGGACCTGAAAACAAAGCAACAAACCTTTATTTCTAAACACCATCCCCACTCCAGGAGTGGGACTCCATCAGACAACGATAAAAGTTGCTTGTTCACCTTGTTTATGAACAAATTTTTCAATATGATGGCATTGAACTTGTATGCTACAATATAACTCCCAAAAAAGTAAAAATCATATCAATGGACTAGAAAAGCTAAAACAAGAATGGAACATGGAAGTAAATATCAACCCATTGGGTGAGGAACTCTGTTTCTCTAAAAGATAAAAGACTGCATATCCCTTCAGAATCCCAGAGAATCCAAGAGTCCAAAGCACATGAAAGAAAACCAAAATAATAACCTCATTACCTCAATTTATTAATGCCATTAACACATAAAAAAACAGATCCCTGCTTTGAAGAGAACAAATGAACCACCAAGCTGTTTATAAGTAATTAGAAGCAGCAATTCATAGAAAATCACCAGAATATATGAACCCATTAAGCATACAATAATAAATAATAACACAACAAAAATGACATAGATCATATGGAATTTTGTAAAAAAACATAAAAGATCATAGCACCCACATTTTTAAAAGGATCCAAAGGCTATAAAACAAAAACCAGAAACAAAATTTCAATGGATCAATGCCTTTAACAGGTAAAATTAAAGTTCCTAATTGTACATATACTTGGTAATACAGAAGTTGGAGATGACTTCGTGTTTGAATGGGTTAGTTGCACAGGCGCATTACTTTGACACCTTTCCACACATTATTTTTCCAAGAGGAATATTTTATATCCAGATAATCCTCAACCATTGTAAAGCAAAGGACTGGGCCACCTGTCAAGGAACAAACTTAACCTTCCTACTCAATTAATAATAGCTGCTGTTTTAACAGAAAAAATATAACTACCATGAATTCAAAGCCATCAATCTCATCCTCCATTTCCGACTGATGAACTTGTATACTAAGGAGGGTTCTAATGCAATTCATAGAAAATGACAAAAATAACATACCGTGCTTTGACAATTTCCGTTGCTTGTGAACATTTCATTTCTGTAGCCCATCTTTATGCCTCCCTTGTAAGGTAGAATGGTTGTGGGTCATGACCAACTCAACTGGACATTAAGAACATTTGGAATGTGGTTCATCTAATCATCTTGCAGTTCCATTGGATGCCACTGTCTGTTGCAATTACAACTTCAGGGATTGATCTCAGGTTGCCACCAATAAAGATAGGGCTGCATCATCTTGTCTCTCCATCAGGTCAGATGCAGAAGACAGGAGGATCCTCACTCTGATATCCAAGTGCTGTAGGAGGTCAAGATTGAAAGAGAATTCTATTTCATTAAGCCCAATGAATACATGTGCTTGAACAATTGAATTGCTTCTAGAATGAATCCTTTCCTCCTCAGCTCCAACATTAGGGAATAATAAGTTGAACAATGGCTTGCATGCCCCTTATCAACCATTTCTTTGTAAAGCTGGAATGCCTTTTCTGGTTCTTTCAATTTGCAATACTTCTTAATGAGTATTTGAAAAGGTACATGGTCAATAACTAAACCAGATTTTTGTACCTTATTGAAAAGTTCTGCTGCTTCCTTCATGTTCCCCTCCATACAATGACCTCTTATCAGCTCAGTGTATGTAATAAAATCTGGCTGGCACCCTCTTCTCAGCATTTCATTGTGCAACTGCAATGCACAACGAACATGCCCAAAATTACAGAAAGCCCCAATTAACAAGTTATAAGTTATGGTATCAGGGAAAAGCCCATTTGAAAGCATTTCTTGCTTTAAGGATTGTGCATCAACAATATTTCCTCCTTTTATTTGTGCATGAATTAATGCATTATAAGTGAAGATATTCGGTGCAACACCAAATGCTATCATCTGATCTCTAACCAGGAGAGCATTGGTAAGATCTCCAGATCTCCCATACCCATCTATCAGTACATTCCAAATGATTGACTCTGGTTTTACAGAATCTTCCAGCATGTAGATGAGGAACTTATTAGCTTTGATGACATCTCCATGAATACAAAGGCCTTCAATAATCATTTTGTAAGAAAGATGATCTGGATGAACACCCATTCTTGACATCATGTTGTAGATATCATAAGCCTCATCAAAACTCCCTTCTTTACAAAGTGCACTGATTAGAGTGTTGTAGGTAAATACATCAGGAAGAAGGCCCCTCTTCAACATGTCACAGACATATCTATATGCAAGCTTCATATGCCAATTCAAACAGAGTCCATGAATGAGGGTGTTATAAGCAACAACATCCATTTGGATACCCTTTTGGGACGTATTATTCCAAAGCTCGAGAGCCTCAATCATATCTCCCTGCCTGCAATAACCATCAATAAGTATTGTTGAAGTCATCAAATTTGATGTCTCATCACTCTCACCTAATATTTCTCCAAGAAGTTTCTTAGCATTGTCCAAAAGACCCTTTTTGCACAATGCATTGACAAGAATGTTACAAGTAACTCTATTTGGGCTGATGCCATTGCTATACATCAATTTGAAAAGATCGAGAGATTTGTCTATGTTACCAACTCGGCAGTATCCACCAATCAAAGTATTGTAGGTAATGCAATTGGGAGGAGGACCAATTTCTAGCATCTCCTTAATTAGCCAATCAGCCTTCTCCAAGTTGCCCACTTTACATAGTACATTTACCAGGTAATTGTGTGTAAGCACATTGGGAATAATGCATTTATGTATCATTTTGTTCCGAAGCCAAAGTGCTGCTCCAAACTTGCCATTCATGCATAAAGCCCTGATTATGCCAGCATCTCCAGTGATATCATTGCCTTGATTACAGTCCCAAAGCCCAGATCCCGCCATCAAAATGCTTTCCCTGTTAAAATTTACAAAAGCAAATGAGAACTAATCAACTAAGTACAAAATCCAGGAATCTAGACCTTGTCCTCCAATTGCATCTAAAAAAAAAGCCCCCAAGAATTTTTTTTTTGGAAAAAGGTAATGTAATATTTATTGAATCAAAAGCAGCACATACAAGCTGAGATCAGTCCCGGAAAGGCAGACTGATCAACTCAGCAATTACATACTCCACCAAGAACTAGAATGAAAAGCAACAGACAAATTACAATTTCTAAACTCCTCAGAAACTGACCCGAATGAGAAGAAAATCCCATCAGACAACTAAACCTGTCTTAAAATCCCAAACAAAATGACATGAAAAGGTTCAGGTGGTCTGAAGTACTTCTATATTAATTTTTTTATAAATCTTCTATCTTAAAAAATTTTGAACCAGATTTTTTTATAATGAGACAACTTTTATAAAAGAAAAGATGATACAGTCTAGGTGATAAGGAATCACCCAAGATTGATAAGAAAAAAACTATGTATTCCATTGTCTCACCGGAAACAGCAAGCCTTACCCTGATCAATCCCTTAATCAAAAACAAAAGAACAGCCCAAGCTGACATCCTCACATTCAGCCCAAAAAGAAAGCCCTCAAACAACAGTAGTCTGCAGATTACCTTTTGAACAACCAATCCCTCAATCAAAATTTTAACCAGATTATCTCAGCCTTCATTATGCATCTTACCTTTATGAGTAGTCAGCTGTTTGGATCAAGAGTAGAGAAAAACTTCTTTCCAAGTTGCAGATATCAACCAGTGGATATAGTAGGATTCAAGAAGTTGTCTGATATAGGATTGTTTGCAGATCTAGAAAAAAGAAGTGGATATCCAATATTTAGTCCCCAAAAAAACTTCAAAAGACTGAGTCTACTAGCAATGGGTGTTATGGCCCCTAAATATTAAAGTGCTTTTGGCTTATTTGTCAAGCATGTAACAAAGGGATATCACTCATATTACCACCAGGAATGATCACTAGTACCAACTTTTTATCAGTATGCCTTACAGGATCAAATGGCCATATTATGGTATAAGCTATCAAATGTTAGATTAAAAAGGCTGACACAGGTGAGAACAAAGTTTCTCTTAAAATTTAATCTCACCAATTAGAACTTTTTTCTGCATGTAGCACAACTTAATTTTTCAACCCAACAACTTTAAAATTAAAGAGCGGGATCTGTGGGCAGGTGTTCTTATAACCAGAGTACCTAAGAGGCAGTTAAATTTCAGAAACCAATTGAAGGACAAGTGTATTAGAAATGCAATTAATTGTTAAAAGAAAATTTCAAAATAGGCAAAACTACAGTAGTATATAACTTCCAATTAACTGAACTGAATGATGACCTAATAATTTTCAGACGATCCAAAGTGTCCTTCAGTATTGTATCCAATGCACTGAAAACAGCCTTAGTATTCTCCTTATTATCATAGTCCTTTTCTGAACACCAATCCCGAGTTTTGATCTGGTGCACATTGTCAACAGACACCATCAAATCTTCATGTATGGTAGGTAATATCTTGACACACCTGGAAAAAGTCCATTAAGCAAATTAATAAAATTCGATTTTAAGAGTTTGTGAAAGTATGATATTTTAAAAGGAAATGACAATTAAGTTATTTCCAGATCCAGCTAAACTGAACCTTGATAAAGAACAGGTCTCCCTACCAAACTACTAAAAAATCTCCCCACTACTCTCAAGGTTACATAATTATTGTCATTTTCTTTTTCTTTCTTCATGCTATGGTTTCCTAGCTGCTATGCTAGACAGAAAGGAGAGAGAGAGAACCCACAATAACTCAACAAACACCTAGAATCAATCTAAGGTTTATAACTATTTACTATAAGCACAATATTCAGAAGATTAATTCTGACACCATTCACCATTTCTTTGATATATATGAATGCTATAGGGGTAGCCAATCCAACATTCCAAGTAAGAAAAAATAGAATTAAAAAAAAAGTGCAATTATCATATTTTGGCACAAAGAAAAACTCCTAAGACAACTTAATCAATGACTTTGAAATTTTAAACATAACTAAACTACAATTAAACAAAGCAGACTCTAATAGACAAGACACCATACATGATTTAAAAATGACAAAAGTACCCTTATTATCCAGAGAAAAATGCATAAAATAATTGAACACAACATCTGACCACTTGGCTCCTATATGAAGGATGCTTGCATTAAGTATTAACCTCAGCAAGAAGTTCAAAACCCTCAAGTTGGACATCAAAGGATGGATCAAGAAAAAACTACAGAGAACCTCAAGTTGGACATCAAAGGATGGAACAAGAAGAAACTACAGAGCAGTGAGATGCAAAAAGGCAATATTTTGCAAAATCAAAGAACTGGATCAAAAAAGAAAAGACATAGACTTTAACTGGGAAGAAAGAACGGAAAGAACTATTTCTAGAGATGAATAGCATAATATGACTCATAGGAGGAGATACCATGGAGACAAAAATCCAGATTCTTAGTATGTAGGGAAACAAAAACACAAAATTTTTCCATAGAATGACATGCACCCACAAGAAACAAACACCATCTCCAAAATCATAATAATTAGCACCCTCTATGATCAAGGATCATAATCCATTGGAAGGCAAGTCGAGTGCCATCCGTTGCAGTAGTTCCAGCTCAATAGCATATTAAATTGTAAAAATTTGGTAAAATCTCCCTTCGTTATTGCTACTGCTTATAGAAGGAAAGAAATTCCAAAACGTTTTATAAAAAGAGTTTTCTGGTAGAAAGACTCATAGCAAGAATTAAGAGGATCATTTTTTGGAATTCCAAGATCTTTATTATTCCGATTATTTTAATTATTGGGAACCTGTAATATTTTCAGCTCTAGATAATGAATAGGACGAAAATATCGTACATGGGTCTTATAATTAGCATAACTTTATTCTTGTAACTAGGATAATCTATTCCCCCTTTCTAATATATAAATACACTTGCATATTAAAAAATTCACCTATCAAAACAAAACCTAGACATGAATTTTATGGGCATAAAACCCAATAATGTGCACAAATTCTATAGGCTCCATTTGTTTCAGCGTAAAATGGATAGGAAACTTTTCATGTCAAAATATATGGGCTACATATTTTTCTCTTTTATGATGACAATTTAAAGGTGAATTTTGACAAAAGCTGTATAGTAGGTCTGAACTTAGAGGAGAGGGAGGTGGTTGAGTGTGCATGCATCCTAGGGTAAGGGTGAGCATTCGATTTAGTCAATTAAAAACCGAACCAAAACTGAAATTTTTGGTTAAAACCGAAGTCAAATTTCATTTTATTATATATTAATATATAAATACATAATATATTATATATAATAATAGAAAATTTGGTTAATTCAGTTAACCAAATTTCTAATTCTAAAAACCGGAACCAAAATTTTTGGTCTGGTTTTTTGGTTTTAACCGAATAGATAGTGCTCACCCCTATCCTAGGGTGTGAAGTTTCTAACTGGCCATTGAAGTATCTTCGATTGCCCCTTGGGGATAATCCACTAAGACAAAATTTCTGAGACCCAGTAGTAGAGAGATTTGAAAAGAGACTAGCTTCTTTGAAGAGAAATTATTTGTCTCTTGGGGGAAGAATCACTTTGATTAAGTCCACATTAGCTAATCTGCCGGTCTACTTTATGTCTATTTTTAAAGTGCCAGAAAGGATTTCTAGGAGAAGAGCTGTTAGGGATTCAGAACTGAATAGTACCTTATCTCTCCTAAACATTCTTGCAGGGGTTTTCTTAGATCCCACTAAATTAGGGTTTGGACTCTGTTAGCCTCTGGGGTCTTTTCTTGTGCTTCCTATTTCAAAGGCTTAACTCAATCATCTATTCTTTTAGGACAGCCTTTTACGGTTAAGGAAGTCTGGTGTAAACCTATTCCACATAGGGTTGGGAGCTTCTGTTGGGAAGCATTCTTGGAAAGGTTCAACACTTGTGATTTACTTCAGAGAAAGAGACCTAATTGTTATTTATCTCCTCATCGGTTTGTTCTCTACAAGGCTATGGGTGAGACTGGTTACCACTTATTGATTTCTTGCTCTTTTACTGCATTTGGAAGTGGTGTTTCTCTTTGTTAGGGTGCAGGTGGTGTCCCCTGTTGGATGTACAAAGTCTTTTTGCCCCTACTCTGCTTAGTTGGCCAAAGAAAAGTGGAAGAGTAATGTGGATATGTATAAGGGCCACTGTCTGTTGGACTATATGAGAAGAAAGGAACAGGAGAATTTTTTCAAATAGACAAAGAAGTCTACAAGATCTTTTGGAGATGATTCTTCTTAGAGTGGTGCATTGACTGAAGACTTTGAACCTGTCTAACAACTTTACAGCGGTGGATCTGGTGAGGAATTGAAATGAAATCACAAGATCAGCTCCAAATAAGGATACCCACTACCTACTTGGATTCCTCCTCCCGGTGGTTTCTTCAAATTTAACTTCGAATGAAGTAGCATTAGAAATCCAGATCCCTCAGGTATTGGGGGTGTTCTAAGAAGTGAGGAGGGCATGGTAATAGCTCTTTTTTCGGGGCTAATTGGAGTGGTGATGCTCTCCAGGCTAAGATTTCTGCTGTTGTAGAAGGAATTCGAAGGGCTAATGAGCTGAACATCACTAAACTGGTTATAGAGGGAGATTTAAACTGGTAGTGGGCTGGATAAAAGAAGATACTGCAAGCTTATGGAACTACAGCAATGAGAAGAAAAAATTCAAGTGGCTGACTAAGGATATTGAAGTGAAACTGAACTGGGTAAAAAGAAGTGCTAACTCCTTTGCTAACAGGTTAACCAAACAAGGGGTGACTAGAGATTCTATGTTTTGGGCTCACTTGTAATTTTGTTTTCCTTTTTTATCTGTTTGTCTAAGGGTGGAGGAGTTAAGAGAGTTTATCTCCCCTTTTTCTGTATTCAATTCTTTTTCTCTTAATGATAGTAATGAGTTATTGATAAAAAAAATGACAACTTTGTTTTCATTGTCATTTACATCAAAACAAATTAAAAGGGGTGGACAAGAAAGTTTTGGAAATAACACCTGAAATATTTCAATCTGAAAAAATAAAAAATGTGTCCATTTTATGGAGAAATGAACTGAACCCAACTCCTATATGGTCATTCAAATAAAAAACATACCATAAAAATAGGGAAAAGTAGAGCTGAAACCAGCAATCCCCCACAATCAAAAGCCTAAACCATTCTAACCTTTCAATTCAATCAAGCTGTCAGATTTTCAGATAAGAATGATCAAATTGGAAAAATACAAATTCACAATAAAACCCAACCTCTATGGTCATTCAATCAAAATCCATGCACCAAAAGGTGGAACCAGTAATCCCCCACTATTAAAAGGTCAAATCTCAATCTTTCAGTTCAAGAAAGTTGCATGTTTTACAAGCGACCAGCCACAAGCCCACATTAGAAATAGCTCTACCATTACACAACAGACAAAATAGCCAATGAAAGCTACGTTGATGGAAGAAGAAAAGTAACCTTTCGTTCAGAACAATGTTGGGTTTGTCGCAGAACATATTTCTGAAGATCTGACCGATGCCCTTGATAATATCTAGGGTCCTGATGTTGGTATTGAAGAGCCAAAGAATAATCTGGAGATCTCCATTTGCAGTTAAAGACTGAAACTTCAAAGATTGAAACGAAATTCAGAAGAACCATCAAGAAGAAAGTTTGAGAATTAAGGAAAAATAACTTAAAAGAAGATGAAGAAGGAATCTCTACTCACCCCCATTTTGATGATTTATCTATTCTTTGAGTTTATTTATATTCTAGCTACGATGGAGGATTGCTCAATCTTCTTCAATGACTCAGCAAATCCTCTCTCTCTCTCTCTCGCTCGCTCGCTCGTTCGCTCGTCTCCTGTGTTGGTGTTAAACCAGATGCAGTGGGCAGCAGGAGTATGGGCGCAAATCGGGCCGGGTTCCCGAGCTGTGGAACCCCTAAACCCTAACCTTAATACTTACTAGCTTCGGGGGAGTCCGGATCTGCTCTTTACAAAACACACCTCACAATGACCTCACAGATTGTTCTAACCGCACATCGAGAATATCTCTGATACTTGTATTAATTATTGATAGGGAGATGATCCCAATACGGGGAAATGTGCTCTGTGAGATCGGTGTAAAGTGTGCTCTGTGAGGAGCATATCCCAATTCGCCGGTTGGGCTCGGATTGTCAGTTGGTATTATTTCTTTTCTATCGTTTTGCTAAGATGCCGTTTGGGAAGAGTGCATATACAAATATGTTAGCTCTCTTTTTAAGGACAATTTAATTATTATCATTAAATAAAAAAGATATACTAATCATACTTCTAAAAATTTTGTCCAAATTGTTTGACATACTTTATGCATAAATATATTCACATATTAAAAAAATAAATATATACTCTTCCCAATTTAGTAATAAGAATAGCAACAATTCACTTCGATGGAAGAATGGGGTTTGAAGCCAAATGGGGAGGTGAACACAATTGCTGAAATCGCCATCGAAGGGATACTCAACGTTGATCATGATCATGGGTGCCCTTGGTGTAGAAGACATAGGCCTACAATCCCTCTTGTAATGGGATGCACGTGATGAGTGGATATGCCTCACATTAGACATGCCTAATAAAGGTAATTTAGTTAGTTATAAGGTTCAAAGTATGGGAAATACAAGGTGCATTGGAAAGGTAATTTTAAGAGACGTATTGAGATATGCTTTGGAAATGTATAAATACGGACGGAAAATCAAGATATGCATGGATACACTAGAAAATAAAAAAAAATCCTTAAAAATATGAACAATAATAAAAATGAGTTTTATGTGAGTATAACTAATTTATTTAAACATAAAAACCATTCTTTAATGATTTATATAAAGTATCGGGACCATTGAAAAATAATAGAAGAACTAAAATGTGTGTGTATGTATATACTAATATTTATTAGTTAATATTTATTATATATACATTTAGATAGTATTTATTATGTACACAAGTTAATATACCTTAATTTTTAATAAATAAATATAACTTGGATTCATGTTATTATTATATAAATATTAATAATCAAATTTATAGCATTTGTTGGGAAACATCCACCAAGGCAAGAAAGATTACTTTAAGTATAAAAAAACATATTGTTCTATAAGTAATTAAGGTTGGCATAATGGTTAATTAATTATTATTATAAGCAAATGACTTGGGCTCAAAACATGTTACCTTTGGTTTGTGATTTTTAACAAGTTATTTCAGTTAAATAACATTTAATGACATATTAAATGTTGTAATTAAAGGTAACTTAAATGAGCATTTATTTAAATTATATTAGCATTTAGTGACGTCTATCGGCGTGTTTCAGTTTTAAGACTTTATTAACTTTTCATTAATCATGTCATTGGCTCAATCCACTAATTCCCTCACCCCTCAATTATTCCATTAATTTGCTTAAAATTCATTGACTCTATTTTTTTTTTGAGAAAAGGAATAACAAACAAAACATAATTAGTTTAGGAATGATGATTAAAACAAAATGACCAAAATGGTAGCATTCTGCTCTATGGTTTTGGTTTATCTCTAAAGTGAGGGCAGCAAATGTAATTTAAAACACTATTACTTTTCACTTCATTGAATTCCCTCTCATTAAGGCTTAACTCTCTTTAGATTTTTTATTTGATTTTTTTTTTTGTTTTTCATCAAAATTCTCCACTAATTAATCTATATCGATTAATTTTAATAACAAAAACTTATGTATTCAAAACCAATATGAAAATTAAACTCCTCTTTTCGTTTGGGTGGCAAGTAGTTCAACCACCCACCTCCAATGGGTCAACTAATGGTCTCATAGTTAAATAATAAAAATTTAAAAAATAAATAGAATTATAAAAAAAATATAAAAATTTTAGGCACATCTCTAATTGATGGTCAATGCCCATAGGGGTGCAACTTGGGGAAAATGTTTTTTGCACCTAATTGATGGTCAATGGCCCATAGAAGTGCAACTTGGGTAAGATTAACTCAAGCCCAAATGACCCAGCTAACAATTTTAGACAACCTAATTGCATTTTCAATCTTCAAGTAGGGCCTAGCCCAATTGTTTGAGTTTTTCTATTTTTGGGTTGGATTGAAGCCTAGCCCTTAGGTAGCTCAAGCCAGGCTTGACTATATACATACATGCATATGTAAACAAGTATTTGCATACATGGATGCATACAAATACATTGGTGTCAAATTTTGTTGTGACTTTAATTGACAAACCCAAGTCTAAGCCCAACCCAAGTGCATCAAATCTCATTGTGGGTTGGGTCAAGGGTGGATGGGTCAAACCTGACTTTGGACTTGAGGCTTAGGCTGCATAAGGTTGAGCTTAAACTCAGCCCAACCTACCTGACTTGCACCATAACAGTCAAGTCGTTTGGGTAAATGGGTCAACTAATGATGTCATAATTAAATAATAAAATTAAAAATAGATAGAAATACAAAAAATTACAAAATACATAAAAATTATAGAAAAATTTGATGTATCTAAAATATTATAAATTTATCATAGTAAACAAAGGTAAGTGTGGTAAACAAGAAATATTTTTAGAATTAATTATGGAAATGAAATAGAAAATTTAAACTTGTCCAAAAATGTGATTGCTTTTCTTTCAAGTCAAATAGGTCAAACCTAATAAAAATAAAGATAGATAAATACAAAATTTTGTCAAAAACACAAAAAATAGAGAGAAATATAAAAATGTAGGAAAACACAAAATTTTGTCAAAAAAATTGTTCATGTCTCTAATATTATATATGTATAATATTAAACAAAAATAAATATGATAATTAAGAAGTATTTTTTATTAACAATGAAAATGAAATACAAAATTTAAATCCACAAACGTATCATGCTTTGATTACTTTTCTTTTTAATGGGTTTTCATATGGATACTGAAATTATTATTATTATTATTATCTAAAATTGTCATGTACAATACATGTGCATATTTACTGGTTGAAGGAAGAAAGCAAATTGCATTAATCAATGTATGTAACCTCTTTCCACCACCATTAAATCCCCCTTTTCCCCCTTCTAAATCCCTCTTAACTCTCTCTAATGAAGAAGGAATATGAATCAGATGGATCGTGTTAGGTTAAGGGATTATCGCAAGCCCAACCTTAGACATGGACCTTGTACCCAAACCCAAACCTATGTCTAGGCCTAAGTTTGTCAACCTGAACCCCACTTAAGCTTAAACCCAACAGAACTTGGGTGGGTTTGGGCAGATTATTTAGGTATCAAAGTCTTCTCACTCATGTTTGCAATTTTTTATTAAAACAAAAGAGAAAACAAATATGGACTCCAAACAACAAGGACAGCAACAACAAGAAAACATAAAACTCAAAGGTCCCCCATATGAACTAGAAACATGTTTAGAGTTTAAATATCCATCTGAATTTCTTCATCTGCTCATGAAAAGGGGATTCCCAAGACACTCCCCATTCTTACACAGCCCTCTCTTAGCAATCTTATTTGCTGTATGGTTGCAAGATCTTCTCATAAACACAAAATGGCAGCTTCTTCATAGCCAGATCCAAACTAGTGAGACAATAAGAAAAAAAAATATAGGGAAGCCGATCAGCTCCTTAAAATCTGATTCCAAAACAAAATGACAAATTCCAAGCCTTTGAGCCAACAACAATACTTGTTTCAACTTACAGCTTCAGCCTGAACTTCAGAGGGGAAATTCATCTTGATGTTCCAGCACAACCAACTACAAAAAATCCACTGCTGAATAGTAAAATAGGATACCATCATCATTCTAAAATTAAATAGCGCTATCTATGAGGAGGATCATTTTTTTTTCTTTTCCCTTAGCCTTTTTGTCTATTTTAATATATATTAATTATTTATCATCATTCATTTCACTTGTTATTAAGCACTATAGAACAACTATTGTTTTGAATAATGTTTTATGACTTATTTTTTTTAAATATTTTAGCGATACTTTGAGTTCAGTCCACCTTAGAATTCATAATGCGGTTGTACAGTTTGGGTCGGTGTTAGGGGGGGGGGGGGAGATTCCCAAGGGATGCTGTTTATAAAGGGAGTGGAAATACATTTAGCTTGTTGGTTTGAAAAAAGGAAAGGAAAGGTAGGAAAACCTGTTCTTTCCCTACCTTTTTCTTTCCAAACAAACACAGCCTTAGGGAATTAATAAATGAATTCTGAGGTGGAGTGGACTAAGGCCAATATTCTATAATCATTGAGCACTTTTTTATTAGTTAATCAATGGAGAGCTAACTCATTGATGTATTAGCTGGTTTGTTCTAGTATTCACATGAAATTGAATCTCACAACTAGCACTTTGGGGAAAATGGGGTAAAGGGGAAGTTATTAATGATGAATGGCACAAAATACAAAAAAAAATAACACTTATTTATTAGTTAATATGCATATAAAACCTCTTTATAGAGCCTATACTGGTTCATGAGTCGTAACACTATAATGATTATGAGGAATATCACATCCTCAAAAGTAATATTTTTCATTGTGGGTTAGTAAAGTTCCCTATAATGGACTGAGGTCAAAGATGAATAATAGAGATTAGACCTAATTAGGATAATTGTTTAGGAGTTCGAACAAATTGCCAGAGGTTTTTAACACTCTAGGCTTTGTTACTCACAAGTTGTTTCCACATCCCTATTCATAGAGCACCATCACCATGTATTGGGAACATCTCTCATGAATGACAATATAGATATTCCCCTTGCGCAGCTGTAATATCTCGTGGATAAAGATGTAAGAACAACTCATGGATAGCAGATTGAAACCCGGTTTTTGAGTAGGTTCATGAATCCTTTATATCTCTTCACTCTAGGGCTGTCAATGGGTTGGAACAGGGTGATTTCAATCCTGAACCGATTATTAATTAGGGCAAAATCACAGATCTAAAATGGTTCCAGTTAATACTTGGGTCTATCGAGGGAGACTCGATACCCTATAAACCCAATTATACTCCCAATTATACTGTATGATGGAGGATTTGGTGCAATGAACTTGTCTACAAGCCTTTTTTTTTTTTAGAAAAAAAAAATCTAACATCGTAAATGTACAAGGGATGAACTATTGACAACCTAATACATTTTTTTTTTAAATTATTTTCATTAATGGAAATGGCGAAAGAAGATATTAGAAGGATTAGGTTAGCAGACTTGAGTCAAAGTATAAAAAGGGTCACCACTCAGTGATTGTCCTGGTCATCAGGGGTCTTGAAAGGGGTTGACTGGACATGGACCTAACCATGCCAAATTCCTGCACCAATGTCAGTTTATTTGTTTTCATACTTCAGAACTGGGTTGTGGGATTTATAAACTTATATTAAATCCATCATTCATATAGGAAAAGAAAAGTAAATCTATGATATCTATCATTCATTTGTCAGGAAGTTGGCTTCTTCCTCTTGTATTTTCTTTGCTTGTTTGGGCTTCATGTCTTTAGGCTGTAACGCATATACACACTCTCTCTCTCATTCATATGAGAAACAATCAAATCAGTCGGTGTCTTTATTCTGGATGGCCGTATGGAAAGTCTTCAATACGGCCAATGACCCAATAGTTGAAGATAGACCTGTTTATCTTCAAATTTTGGTAAAAGTCAAGTTCGAGCCCAGCACATGAATAGGTCTAATTGAATTGAAAGCAAAAACTATACAAACATTGTGAGAACACAAACACCCAATTGCACATCGGGATTATCTTTTCATGAAATTAATATACATGTATTGGGAGATATTTCTGATGTGCAATTAGATGACATACTATCTCACTGATAAAAAAAAAAAAGATAAAACGATGACATGCTATCATAGTATTTGCAAAGATTTTGCTTTTAGGAGAATTGAACTCATTGCTGAGATGGCAATTCATCACCCCATAAAAATAGGTGTAGAATCAAACCCGCAAAACTACAAACTCTCAGTGGAATGGCCAAGGGACCTCCTGTGTGCCTGGCTCCGGACTGGACGATTGAACTAGTTGACCTGAGAATCGGTTAGACAATCACTTTCGTTTCACCCTAAAAAACCACTCCTAAGCCAAAAACCGTTGATTTATCGCTGACCTGGGTGATTGAACAATTGACCCATTGACCTAAACAACATTTTATGACTTTTTATTTTAATTATTATTGTTATTTTTAAATCAGAACTGACCATCCATTCGAACTATGGTCAAACCATTTGACAAGGGAACCGATCGATAGCCAAAACGATCCCGTATCCCATCTGATTTTTAAAACCTTAGGTCTAAATTAGGTACAATGAAAATAAGTGATTATTTTTTAAGTGGAAAACCTAGTTGTCTCAATAAGGATGCAAGGACTAATTCACTAATGGCTTCAGAACTTTTCTAACACCAGACTTAAATTTGCTGCCCCACTTGATACCAGTAAAAAAGGTGAAAACCATCTTATCACGTGGAGATGTTCTTTTGAATGGGCTCACTACATTCAGAGAGTCGTGCAACTTGTCCGGACTCCGGACTGAGTCGGAGTAGGGCTAGCCTAAGCGGCTAAGCCCAACTTTGATAGTCCAATATGTGGCAAACTCAAGGTAGTTAGCCCATGTCCAGCCCAAAATAAACCTTGTATATAGATAAAAAAATCTGCTACTACTGTGGTCACATGCGACCCCAATGAAAAAAAAAAAAGTTGATGTGGGGGTGGCTGCAGTATGTATACTAGTGAGCTGAATGGGAGTCTTCAAGTGGGACATAATTGATATAGGATCTCCTGCCAACACCCTACCAACAATATTCAATACCGTACATCTCACCATGAGATTAGGACCCTCAATATATGAGATGTGTGGTATCAGATCATGTTGGTAGGGTGCTGGAACTTATTTGATTGGTAGGTGACCCAGATTCCTATGAACTGTGGGGTTTAATGGTTCCCCTATCTGATGGATGGTCATCAGATCCCTCCAAGTGGCCAAAATAGGCTGATATGCATTGAACCTGTTAGAGATGGGTGGCATTGAAGAGATCTTTTAGGCTTCCAAAACAGTAATTAAAAAGTAGACGAGATATATGTGATGCACGGGCTGGTGTTAAAAAATGTTTATGTTACATTTTCTTTCCTTTCCCTATCTTTTCCTTTAAACTAAACATAGTCTAGTGTTGCGTTGTTTGGTTTGAAGGAAAAGGTAGGGAAAGGAAGGGAAAGACAGAGAAACCAATATGAGGTTCGTAAAGGTTTTCCTACCTTTTCCTTTCTTTTCTTACATTTTCCTTCAAACCAAACATAACCTTAATTCCTTAACTGAATTGGTTGTGGGTTAACTTAAATAGCCCCCATGTTTAATTTTTTTTTATTTTAAAAAAATTTAAAAAAAATCACAAAATTTTAAAAGGTTTGAAAAATAATTTGAGGAATTTGAGTGGACAATTGCATTTGACTAAGGGGTATGTAAGAGTATAAATATGCCTGGTTTCATGGACTTGCTAAGGCTCAGTTTGGAAGGAGTACAAATACAAATATGTATTGTGCAAATACATACAAAATACAAGGTTCTGCACTTTACATATTTGTATTTGTATTCCTTCCAAATGGAATCTAAGTATTCATTTGGATCTGATGTAAAACGTCATCAATGTAAAAGTACACTGATGACTTTTTATACTTTACACTGAATTGTATATATAGGTGACCTTTACATTTTGAAAATCGATGTAAAAAAGTATAAAGTTTTATATTGATAAAATCGGTGTAGTTTTACACCGATTATTGATGTAAAACTTTATGCTTGATGAGGTTTTACACCGATTCACGTAAAACTCCACTTCATCCAAACGTCAACAAATCTAAATCGGAGTAGAATTTTACGTTGATCATAATTACATGCTCCTTCAAAATACCTACAAAACCAAACCGATGTAAAATTTACATCAGTTATTGATTTACATCACTTCCAAATGCAGCCTCAAATATCTTGTGAATCTCAGTCCTATATATATAAAGCCACTAGATAGGCTTTCTGAGATTCGCGAGATGTGGCTGTGAATCTGAAATAGGCTCGTGCTTATGCCGGAAAAACCATGCGGATGCGGGTCAGTACCAAATCCCCTCATGTCTTTGTCCATAACCAGAAAGGGCAAATTGGCAGGGCAGGGGCAGGTTTTTGCATGCCCCGTCCCAGAACCAAACTCAAATACCTCATTCTGAACCCCACTAAAGCTAGAAATCCTGACCCCATCCCCAGTCATTTCTACTTGTAAATTTATTTATTTATTTATTTTTAAACTTATCTAAAACTAGATTATATTATGTAATGTAATATAGTATAATATAATTTATAATATTTGAATATAATATAATCGGGGTGGGTTCGGGGGTGGACAAATACCATCCATGCCCCCAAAATTTAAAGTTTTCCCAAAACCTGCCCCAAACCCCAAACAGTTGTCAAAAAACCTGCCCCAATCGGCGTGGACAGGTCAAATTGCCATCTCTAGAATTCCATTTGAGGTTGTGCATGAATTGCATGACCATCCTTCCCAATAAATAGGGTACATGAGTCCACTCTTGAGGACTTATTTGATACTTCTTCCTTGACATCCTTTCCACCGATTTAGATTGTATTTGATACCATTGCTGTTTTTACATGAAACTTTTGGGTTGATCAACATAAAGTGGCATACAATTGTTATTCGACACTATTTAATTATGGTTGAAATAGACATACCTTAAAAATGCATGTGTTAGAGGCTGTTTGCAGAAACATCGATGAAGTTGGTGTTTCTTACTCTTTGGGTGAAGTCTAATCATTCTAGCTTAAGTATCTCTCACATATGATGTGGCAATACGTTTCTCCCACCAATTTGTATTGATAAACCCAAAACGTTTTCAGTAGAAATAGCAATGATATCAAACTCGACCTTAGATCCTAAGGTTCTCCAAACTCTAATCTATTCATTCTCGCCCAACTTCCAGGAGTTCACAAACCACAGCCACACTACTGTCTTACAGGATGTCTTCTATTGTCTTATAAGCAACAGTCACAGGAGCCAGAAAGATTTCTGGCTTTTAAAGTAGAAGCTCAAAGCCATAAGTTGAAAAGAAGATTCAATTGAAGCCTTTATTCTGTCAAAATTTATTCTTTGAGAGGGGGAAGGTGGGACTGTACTGATGTAGCTTCCACAGGGCTGTGGCTTTCAAATAAAACACCACATGACGATACCAACCATAAATGATCTTTCATTCTTTCTTAAAGCCTAACCACGATTCAACCAAAAAGGGTATGGCAATTTGGCTTGAATTTAAATGGTCCGGGTTTGGGCTGTGCAAGGCCTCGACCCAAGCCCAACTCAAGCTAGGTCAGGCCTGACTATTTGGGCCCATGTCCAACTTGTGCTACACTTGGGATTTGGTTCGGCCTACCTTGCTTGCTTTTACACTCATAAAGTCAGAGTGAGGCTTGGGGCCAGCCGGCCAGGGGGGACACACCCTGATCCCTGCCAGAGGCTTGGGGCCTGGGGGTTTCGTCGCGGCTCCACGAAAGAAAAAAAAAAAAAAAATGAAAAGCAGGGAATCTCGTCTGTGGCTCTTTTCCCTCAGAGGTAGCTCTCCTTTTCCACTGTGAACTCTGCTAGATAAGGACGTGACCGCCCGTCAGCCCAACCTCGTGTTGGCAGCTTCTGCACATTCTCCTCTCTCTCTCTCTCTCGGGTCAATATACAATCATTAAACAAATATCTTATCAACAATTCACGGGAATAGCAGGATCAATGTTTTATTCAGTTTTCACCATAAATTTCTATAGTTTTTTACTGATCATGTTGCCTTTAATTCACTTTCATCATTGTTTGCCATCTTCTGTTGGTGGGTCGATTCATTTTGAAGGGTTGCATTTAACTAAAATTGTTTGCTCTCAAGTTTAACAGTTCAGGATATAGCTGTGCGACTGTTCCGTTTGAAAAAGGTACAAAGCTGTGCAGTTCTGTTTAACTGCACAGTATGTGCTCAAGGGATAAACTGTAAGTAGCTAAGCCGAAGCACAACAGAGAGAAGGAAAGGGATGGCTCAATCTCCAGCTCTTCTCTTTCTGCTTCTCTTCATTTTTGCAACTAAAACGATAGAGTCAACCCAAATATTCTTTCCAAGAGCCACCCATCAATCTCTGATCAAGCAAGCCAAGGATCCAAAACTGAGCATCCCATACAAGACCCAATTCTTCCCTCAGCTCTTAGACCACTTCACCTTTCAGCCCCAGAGCTCCAAAATATTTTACCAGAAGTACCTCATCAACGACCATTACTGGGAGCATGGAGCTCCCATCTTCGTCTACACAGGTAACGAAGGCAACATCGAATGGTTTGCGGAAAACACTGGTTTCATGCTCGACATTGCTCCCAAGTTCCGAGCTCTGCTCGTCTTCATTGAGGTACTGTTTTATATCACAGTATCTAAATGGGTTCTCCTTTTTAGCAGCACTCTGTTTGAAGTTTCAATGGATGCTAAGATTGTTTACTCTGCCTCCCATTTCAGCATCGATTTTATGGAGAATCTTTGCCATTTGGTAAGGACTCATACAAGTCAGCGAAGACATTGGGGTATCTGAACTCACAGCAAGCACTAGCAGATTTTGCAGTTCTCATTCAAAGTATGAAGAACTTACTTTCTGAAGTTTCCCCTGTTTTGGTGTTTGGTGGGTCTTATGGAGGAAGTAAGTTGAAAGAATCCCCAATAGTCAATACCTCTTTTGTAGCTTCCTTGCTTCTAACTTTTTGAGGAATCAATATGACAGGAATCAGAATTTAGAATGAATAATTCCATTTTGTAATTTTTGTTTTAGTTTTTCCATGTTGTGTGGTCTATAAAAAACGAGGCTTTCTCAATTCTCAGTCTTGTTATTGCAACATCAGTTCCTTTATGATTGCCATTAGTGATCGGCTGTTAATGCTCTACCAAGTTCCAAGTTCAGCTACAACGAATTTCTCAGTGGCCCACTATTGTTATTTTCTATTTAGATTGTGTTGCTTTTGTTTTGCTTTCTATGTAATTTTGACTTTCTCCCTCTCTCTCTCAGTGCTGGCTGCTTGGTTTAGACTGAAATACCCACATGTAGCCCTTGGAGCTTTGGCATCTTCAGCCCCCATTCTGCAGTTTGATGACATTACTCCATGGACAAGCTTCTACGATGCTGTAACTCAGGACTTCAAGGTCTGCCATCAATGGAGAGTGGTGTATACTTAGCAGAATTTCTTGTGCTGCTTTTTTTATTCTTATTTTAGCTTCTGCAAAGGTGCTTTTCCCGATTTACTTTTTCATTATTACTACTTTAACGGGTATGCTTTCTCATCCTTTTCCTTGTCTTTCCTTGCTTTTTCATTACACTATTAATGGGTATCTGAAGCAGGACGCAAGCCAGAATTGTTACGAGGTGATAAAGGGAAGTTGGGCTGAGCTGCAAGCAGTGTCTGAGCAGAAAGGACTGGCGGAGCTCAGCAGAAGTTTCAGGAGTTGCGAGTAAGACTTCGAGCTCATCAATCAATGAAGTAATAATAATAAAGTAATAAGCAACTCAAAATATACATCTGGGTACTGCACTCTGGAACTTGTAAGCCTTATAAAATTGTACTAGTAGGCAGCATGTGAGAGTTCAGTCCCATCTGTAAGTTGTAACCACTCCCTCTCCATGGTTGACTCTATGCCTCCATCAACTTAGAAGGTTGTTCCTCTCTCTCTCTCTCTCTCTCTCTCTCCTTCAAAGAGGATGTTGGGCATGAATAGAGGGTGGAGAGGGGGACATGTAGGGCAAATACTGTTTATAAATTAGTTCTTCTGACTAACTTAAACCAGAGAAATAGACTCTGGACAGCTAAAACCACTCAAGGGAAAACTCAGAATAGAGCAGATGTGTATTGGAAAGGGAGTCAAAACTTGGTACACGGGGAGGTAGTACAAATCTCCTGTAATCACTGTTACAGCCTTACAGGTATCTCCTTTCACCAATAACCACCAAACAGAAAACAACTCACTCACCTAATTCGTGTGACCACTGACTACGGAGTCTGACTACATTTTGGATAAACTACATAAACTGTTAATCATTTATATCAGGACCATTGATCTTTTTCTCTGCCCCAATTACACCCATACATCACCCATGTTCGACATCATTCTTTTCTTTATTTATTTTTTATTTTATTTTCTTAGTTTATCTTCACATGTTTTTGTCTTAATCTCGAACCGTCGTGGCTCCCTCTGTCACTCTGCAACTCTTTCTATCCACACTACTGTGGAAACACTTAATCCCATACCAAGACTAATCCGAACCATCTATCCCACGAATTTGTCTGAGCCTTTGGAAAGAATACAAAGAGTTAAATGCATACAAAATAATACAAAATACAATGTTTTTCATTCTACATATTTGTATTTGTATTCTTACAGCCTTACGAAACCGAGCCAATTTACATCTGTCTAGTTATGGAATCATCTGCTCTTTGGCCTAAATGCAAAATACATCATTTGACCCATTTACTCCCCTAACACATATATGGGTTGGGCCATATGGGTCATATACCCAGGGCTGTTGAAAATTTTTCATGCCCTACAAAATGGGCCATGGTTCACTAATTACCAATGTTTTAAAAATCAACCCAGAGGCCAAACCGTTTTTGCCTCTGGGTATATATATAAACATATTTTACCAATAAATAATATATATTTATATAATTATATTTTATATATAATGTATGTATTATTTTATATTTTTAATTTTTTATTTATAAAAAATATTAAAAATTATAATTTGAGGCCAAAAAGCTTTTTGGCAAAAATAGCTGGGCATGGCACCTATGATTTCTTGAGATGCATAGATTTAAAAAATAATTATCCAAATAAAAAAAAAAGAATCACCTCATTTGGACATCTAAATGCAAAGTTATAATCACTGAAAGTTTAGGCATATATTGAGTGTGCAACTTGTGACTTAGTAATCGGGTTAAATGGTCAACGTCTCAACTGCCCAAATTGAATGGCTTTTGACTAAGTCAACAGATTTTGATCAAATCCTAGGTTTTAGCCAAACTACGGATCAACGTTAAGTTGAAAGCAGAGCTAATTACCATGGTTGTAAGTTGTACATTGTAACTTTTCAGCATGGCCCATCAAATATCATGGTGATCTGCATCTACGTACCAACTCTAGAATAGGAACTAATCAGCAATTAATCAACTCATGGTTTTTAAAACCAAACTGGTCATAGGTTCGGTTATCGGTTCGAACGGTTCATTCAAATTGAGTGCTCAGCCCGTTTTGACAAAAAAAATCAAAAAAATCAAAAAAACAATCAAAACGGTTTGAACAATTAACCACCCAATTCAGTGGTTCGCTGATCAAAATCAACGGTTTTTGGAAGAAAATCCGGTTTTCTTGGGAAAATAGAACCGATTCCCAATTTTTCCAGTCCGACCATCCAATTCAGTCTGGTTTTAAAAACCATGAATCAACTTATGTGGCGTATATTTTGTTATAATATAATTAACTTTTCAGAATTAACGAAATATTGGGTTAATTAATACTTGATGTAATGATAAAATTGTGGGCTGACAAGTGAGAGAATATGGGTTTGAGTAGAGAGCCGTCACTGTTGATATTCAGTTGAGCTCCTCTCCAGATAACTTGAACCAACCTTCGGTAACTTTATGGCCTTTTAACATCCTAAGTTCCATACCATCTAATATATAACAACCTGTTTGTATAAATCCCTGAGTTGAGAGATCACTTCAACATTATTTCTTATATTTGTTTTAGGAACCTTCATTCAATGTATTCGGCACGGAACTGGTTATGGACAGCTTTTGTTTATACAGCCATGGTGAACTACCCAACAGAAGCCAATTTTATGATGCCATTGCCTGCTTACCCTGTAAGAGAGGTATGACTACTTCTTCATACATATTTACTTCAGAAATATATCCAAATTTGAAATTTATTATAGAACTGGAATTGCTTTCATCTGCTTACCTTTTATTTTTGTGGGGTGTTGAAGATGTGCAAGATCATTGATGGGTTCCCTCCCAGGGCTACCAAGCTTAGCAGGGTTGTTGCAGCGGCAAGCTTGTACTACAATTATTCTCGTACAGAAAAATGCTTCAAAATAGAAAATGCAACTGATGCTCATGGGCTCCATGGTTGGGATTGGCAAGTAAGAATCCTAATTATGTTTCTTTATACCGTTGCCCCCAGATGCAGCATCACAATTTAAGGGCCATTGTCTGGTGCAATGGTAAAGTAAAACTTGAGGTTGAGGTTTGAGTTTGAAAGTGGCCATTTTGTTTAATGACAAAAGAAGTCAATGGTTAGGCCTATATCAAGTTTATCTCCTGAGACCCCAGATTATCAGGACCATTTTGTAATGTGAATGTGGATGCAAGTAATGATTCATCATCATCATTATCATCATCATCATCAAGCGTTGTTTCAATCATAGAACCTTGTTTTGTCATTCTGTTCTGTTTAATGTCATATCCAGTATTAAATTATAGCTCTTAAATAATTTTTCACACTACAAGTCCTGGTTTTTGAACCATTGTTGGCCTTGATGGTCACACCGTTTGGCCTAAAAACCATCTAGGCAATCTGTTCTGTTTCACCCCTGAACCAGAAATTTGCCAACAACCATTGATTTGATCAGCGACCCGCTGATCTGGCTGGTTGAGCTGTTGACCTAGACAATGTTTTTGACAATTTTTTTTTTGTTTTTATTAATTTTTTATCTTTTATTTTTTAAAATTGCAATGGATCATTCATTCAGACCAGACACAGAAAGTAATGGCCAAAGCGGTTCTGGTTCTAAGCTGGGTTTTAAAACATCGCTACAAGTAGTGAATATGCCATTGGTTAAGGAACATGTATGAGATTGTATTTATTTTAAAAGAAATCAATTTCTGATCATTAGGCATGCACGGAGATGGTTATGCCTATGACTTGCTCTAAAGATAGCATGTTCCCTCCATCTACTTTTGACTACAAAGCGTTCAGTGAGCAATGCATGAGGAAGTATGGAGTTCTGCCTAGACCCCACTGGATTACAACAGAATTTGGAGGCAATGTATGCTATTTTCTTTTTTCTTTCTTGGTTCCGTTTTATGGAGTTCACAGTAGCTCAATCATGGGTTAAACCATTTTAGTTATTTATACTTCTTTTCAATGTCCATGCAGAGGATTGAGCAAGTTCTTAAGAGATTTGGAAGTAATATAATATTTTCTAATGGAATGCAAGATCCCTGGAGCAGAGGGAGGTGAGTGAGTATCTTAGGTTACCAAAAAAGTTATGCTCAAATACCCTGATTTTCCAATCAAAATAGCCATTTGATTCTATAAAAACTTCTGGCCTAACCCAATAATTTGCCCATTTTCAGATTTCAGGGAAAATCTTTTTCAGAAATGAAATGTGAAGCTCTTAGCCTTTTTGTTTTCTTCTTCCTTGAAAAGAATGGAACTGTCATGGAGTGCCCTCTAAGGTACAAAGGGGCAATACTCCTAGTGTCCTCTCTAAGAAGGGTATTAATTTTCAAAAGTGGCCAAATATCCTAATTAGTTCATAGTATATATCAGATAGTTCAAAAACCAATATGTATTATATAATATGCACCGATAATTGATCAAAAAAAAAAAAAAAGAAATGCATCAATACATATCAATACTTTGAGCCTTGTTTCTATCTAGTTAAGAGTGTTAATGGACTGGTTTTGGATTGGACCCCGTCCAGTCCAAAATCAATTTGGACAGATTAGACAGACCAACAAGACATTGGATTGGACCAATCCGATCCAAAATATTTATTAGATTGGATTGGACCTGGTCTGTCCGTAACAAATTTATATTGGATTGGGTTGGATCAAGCCAATATCTGGTCCATTGATATAAGATAAGAGTATATGTGTTAATGGACCGGGTTTGGGTTGAAACCAATCTAAATCAAAATGAATTTGAACAGATTAAATGGTCCAGACATTGAATTAGACCAGTCCAAATTGGTCCAAAATATTCATTGGATTGGATTGGACCTGGTCCATTTATAATGGACTCACATTGAATTGGATCGGATTGGATCAAATCCAGTCCAATTGACACCCCTATTAATCTAGTCTCTTATTATTGTTTGGATCCTTTATTTAGTCCATTCTTCCTAAACTTAATCCAACTTAAATTCGGGTTAGGCTGAAGACCTGTATGTATAGCTCCTTTGCTTCTCTTGTATGGTAATATTAACTTAATTGTTATTTATTTGAAAATGTTCAGTGTGTTGAAAAATATATCAGCCAGCATCATAGCACTGGCCACTGAGAAAGGTTAGTCATGGAGATTCAATGAACTTCCTTCTCTTATTTTTTATGTTCTTAGCTTATCAGTGATATATATATATAGAGGTTTTCTTTAAATGTCATCCTAGTGTAGCTGTGGATTTTTCTTTTTTCTTTTTTTTTTTTTTCTGCTGCAGGAGCTCACCATGTGGATTTCCGATCTGCTACAAAAGAAGATCCAGATTGGCTTGTAGAGCAAAGGAGACAAGAAGTGGAGATCATCCAAAGATGGATTAATGAATACCATTCAGATTTTAAATGAGGATGGATTATGTGAAGATCTAGTTAACTTGAGAGCAAATTATGACATTTATGACTCAGAGATTTCTGTTGGTTTCAACAAAATAATCTCTTTTAATTTCTCCCAAATGAAAGAAAAAAAAGGAAATGATCTTCCCTCTAACAAGAAAAGTTTATTCGGTTATTTAATTGTTTAGTGAATGACAGATTGCACTTTAGGTTATTTAATTGTTTAGTGAATCCTTCAAAGTCAGGTAGTGAAGACAGCCACTTCTCAGGGTTGAACACATCGATGCAAGCACAAACAAGAGACAGATAAAGAGCTATTACTTCATTATTGATGTAGCCTTCCAACCACAAGATAACATCTCTTCATATGCCAAGTTGATTCCAAATGGCTGAATTGGCCAACTCCAATAAACAGCCTGAACTATTCACAATGGCTGAATTGGCTGAATAGGATTTCAGACAGCCCATTCTATTTCTAGTGATTCAGATTGATTGATATAAAAATATAAAAAAGTTGAACAACCATGAAAACATTAGAATTACTTATTGTTCAAAGAGGGAGCACTTTCTTCTAGTTGACAGAGCAACAACATACTATGGAAGATGGGGAAGCTTGCAGACAGATACGGTTTTGTATCTTGAAATTCAATTATGTTAGGAGTGGTTCTAAAATTATGCATACTATGACTTGAAGAATCCATGGAAATCTAGATCATATACCTTGGTTTACTCTGAGTAGCAATGCACCTACCTCCGAACCATAATTAGTGAAAAGGGTAACTTTGAAACAATAACAAATAAGGAGAAAAAGGAAAAGGAAAAAACACCATCAAATAAGAAATTACCTATATTGCTTCATTTTTGGCCATTTTTACCATAACTGTCTTCATTCTTAGGGCCCATTTGATTCTTGGGAATAGGGGTCTCTGATTCCAACTGTTTGGTTAGGTAGAATCGGAATCCCATTCCCATTCTTGCTGGAATGGCTTCCCCATCATTCTTTGGGAATAAAATCCCATTCTAGCTTATTTCAATTCTGATTCCAATTCCAGTTTGAACCAAACAGACTAATGGAATAGACCATTCTGATTTTGATTTCAAGGGATTTCGATTCCAGTTCTGATTCTGATTACAACTGCAAATTAAATAGACCCTTGGTTTTGCATGCAAATAAGAGGTCAAATGAGTCACGATCTTAAGCAGGTCTATTCAATGGTAGAATGTGCTTGTGGCCTAGTCTTGGGGTAAAATAATGGTTTTCAAACCACTGTTGACCCGGATGGTCATACCGTTTGGTCCAGGAATCGTCTAGACAACTGGTTCCGTTTTTCCCCAAACTTGACCCCTGGCCAGAAGCCGTTGAATTGGTCAATGACCCAATGATCTGGGGTAGTTGAACTGTTGACCTGTTTTGACCTGGTCAATGGTTTCGGCCATTTTTTATTTTAATTATTATTATTTTTTTAAAATTTTAATTTTTTTGTCAGAATAGGCCGTCTATTCAAATCGGACAATCGAACCATTGACCCAAAACCTGATGGCCAAAATGATTTTGATTCTATGTCGTTTTTTAAAAACATTGGGTAAAAGTGATATAAATAATTTGTATAGAGAAACTATGATAGATGAAAAAGTAAGCTAAACTCGAATGCCATATTCCAATAGATTGTAACATTTTTTTTATGCTTACAGTAATAAATGCTTTACTAAAATGGAACCAAACAAATCAATCTTTTCAGAAAAAGAGAAACAGAAAATGAGATGGGGATCGAGAAAGGAGGGACATGTCCCGTTTGTTTTAGTATATAATATAGATACTTGGTTCAAATGCTACTAAAAATTAATGAAATGATTTCATTTTTATGTTGCATGTGGATTTAATATATTGGTAGAAGATAGGGGTGCGATTTGGGCCGGGTTAATTCAGGTTGAAGTCAACCCTAACTCAATTTGAGTTGTTGAATCCCTAATCTCAACCCTAACTGAATCTAAAGTTTTTGAGTTGGGTTGGGATTGGGTTTGCCCGACTCTTCTACTTTAGCCAAATGTACTTATTCACGAGTATAGGTAATTAATAGAAAATCAAGAGAAAGAGACCAAATACACAGCCTAAATAAACAAGCATGCTTGGCAATAGAATGAGTCACATGGTCACACATACAATGAATGAAAGAGATTGTCGACTGATTAAGGTCATGTTTGGGAGTGCTTATTTGAAAAATAGGTACTTAAAAACAAATGCTTATACTGCATAAGTACTTATTTGTTTTTGCTACCCAATTTTTTCAAATGAATATTTTAAAAAATAACTATTTATTTTATATTGGGCATTTGGTGGTCTTTTTCTTCAATAAGCACATATTCATTTAGAAAGACAAATTTAACCTTCATTTTAGGAGTGCCACATCACGAAGAATGTTCACCAACCTAGATGCGAGGCTTTTGGTTTGAGTTTGGAAAATCCCTAACCTTTTAGTATTCACACAAAAAGAACGAGTAACATAGTTGGATGAATGTAATGATTGTTTGGTTGAAGATGAGAAAACGAAAAAAAAAAAAAACTGAGTAGAGAAGAATGTCCACCAACCTGGATGCACAAGCTTCTGGTTCAATCATGGAGTAGTTTTGCCGTTGCAATGGAGTTTGTGGGAAGAAGAGTAGGGAAGAAAGCTTCACTGAATAGAGAAACTCTATGTTATTTGAGCAAAGGGCAGTATTGACATTTTAAAATATAATCAGGGAGTGTTTTGAAAGGAAAAATTCAAATAAGTGCTTATTGTATGTACACTTAAAAATAAGCTGGAATTTTGAAGTTTATTTCCCAAACACCAATAAGTGCTTTTTTGTGTGGTCTCAACCCAAATAAGCACTGCCAAACTTGGCCTAAAATGATGCAAAAGTTCTCTACAATGGAATTCACCAAGAAACCCCATGACTTGGGTCCAATAGAGATATGACAACCTTTTGTTAGGGGTGAGCAAGAAAAACTGAAAAATTAAAAAGCTGAACTGAACCGATGAGACCAAATCGGTCTGCTTGATTTCTGTTTGGTATTTTTAAAAAATCGAAAGTATTGGTTCGATTTTGATTAACCAATATAAAAAACCGGTAGTTAACTGAGCTGACCGATAATACATATATTTCTATATATTATATGCATACTTATGTATATTATATATTTTTCATTTATTTTATATTATCCATATATTATAAATTAATAAATATATATTATATATTATTTATTATTTAAAATATAATATTTTATATGTATTTCTAATTTTTTATTATATATTTATATATTCATTTATAATATATAGTATAAATATAAAAAAGCCAAAAAATCAACGAATCAAGCTGATGACTAACTGAACCAATCAACTAATTAATCGATCTGCTTTGATTTGGTTTTAGTTACTGATTTTTCTAGAAACCGGTAATACTGGTTCAGTTTCAAAAGTAAGTTCACGGTTCGAATAACCAAACCGTTATTCTAACCGTGAAAACCCCTACCTTTCTTGCATTTCCTTTGAGACTGAAAAAAGAGAAACCAAGATCATGAACAAATTGAATACCATCTTTAAATGCCAAGGCTTCAAGTGTCTTTACTCTTTAGGATGGACTTGATTCTCCATCCATGTTGATCTTAACCATAGGAAATTAAAAAAAAAACAAATACAACAACAAAATGAAGAAAAATAGAAAAATGGGCAAAATATAAAAAACAGAGAATCATTAAAAATACAACAAAGTAACAAAGGAAAATACAAAAAACACTAAAAATTACAAAAAAAAAATCTAAAAGTACAACAAGAGATAACATGCTTTAACATGCAATTTTTTGTTAAGGATCATGTATGGGCTGAATTCGATTTGAGCTTGGCTTAAGTGGGATTTCAAGAAATGTAGTTAGTAATAAATGTAAAAGATTTTTTTTTGATAGTAAAAGAAATTACTGGAATGGATAAAAGGAAAATTAAGCAAAAGATCGAATTGAAGAAACATGTCCCAACATCTTACATATTCAAATCAAACGGATAAAGAAAAAAAAAAATCTTAAACGAAAAAGAAAGATCTAGAAGATTATCCATCACCTAATCCATAAAAAGGTATATGATATCAATAGAAAGCCTCTTAATTTTCTGTTTCTAATCACCAAAAGTTCTTCAAAAAAAAGGGGAAAAAAAAAACAGTAGGCCTGAATGGTTATAAGGCAGCCTTATAAACCTTCATCTTGAACCTTGGCCCATTCCCCTAAATTTGATACCTTGAAAAACTTCATTTTCAACTTTCATATTGCATATTTACAGATTAAAATCTTGAATGAAAAGAACTACAACTTATTCCTCTTTCCAAAATTTTGACCTGCTCCCTTCTATGAGGGTCCCACTTACTCCCTATTTTTCTTCCCATTATACCCCATTTTTTTTTCCTTCAATTTTCCCATCCTCTTATCTATCAACCATGATTTCCCTAAACACCTTTATCATGGCTGTTGCAATCCCTCAACACCTTTATCAAATCAATAGTTACATTTTTTTTTTGTTTTTTCCTTGTTTTGCAGGGCTGCTCTAGGGCTGTTTATGGGTCGGGTTGGGTCGGTTTACTGTGATTTTTCCAATCGATCCAACCTGGTCGGGTTACCTGACATAGAAACTGAAATCGACCAAGTGTTAAGCAAAACCAACCTGGTCGGTTTGAGTCGAGTTGAGTCGGTTTCGGTCTAAGTTCATCCCTGTGATAAAATCTTGCTAATTTTAAAAATAGTCATAAATTGAACATTATTTCAGCTATCTCCTATGATAAAATTTAAATGAAAAGTTAATCACAAAAGTTGTTCATTAATCACTATTCACTAATCCAAAGTTTCTTGCAACCATTCAAAAACTAAGTGGACTAATGGGCTTTGAAACTTCATGTTTGAACTAAGTTGGTTTGGTTCGGGTCGATTTCGGTTTTCTTGTGTGAAAACCAAAACCGACCCAAATCATCGGTTTAGGAATTTACACAACCCGAAACCAACCCGTGCTAATGAAAACCCGGCCGACTCGGGTTGAGTCGATCCGGGTTGGTCGGTTTGGTCGGGTTGGGCCTTCTTATGAACAGTCCTAGGCTGCTCAATCTTTCTATTAGAGGTTAGAGAAGAACAATTGATATTTTATGCTCTTGGTTCTATGA